TTTATGAGTAAAAGAGGTGACTTATTGGCCTCAAATTTAAAAAAAAAGAGTCCAAAGCATCACACCACAGTGACACGCACGTGCCCATGTTTATAGCAGCACAGTCTGTAATCGCTAGATCTCAGAAATAGCCCAATGCCCATCCGATGAGTGGATAAAGAAAATGCCGTATTTATGCACAGTGGAGTAGTACTCCGCCGTGAAGAAGGATAAACCTGCGTCACTTGTAGGTCAGCGGATGCTCCTCAAGACCATAATCTGAAGTGAAGTGAATCCGACATACAAGTTTAAGTATCGCGTTGTTTCTCTTGTATGAGAAACCCTAAGGGTAAACAAGGAGCAAAGTGGAGGACAGGTACTGGAAACAGGAAGAACGTGTTCAGATGGGAAGGGGGACAAGGGAGCCAGGACAGTGAGGGTAGGAAGGGTTTGCGAAACAAAGAACAGAAGAGAAAAATGGAAACAAAGCTTTTGTAAGTGAGGAGGGGAGGAAAATGGTAAAAAAAGAATTAGGGTATGTCAGTACAGGCTCAAATTCCCCACGTAACAGAAGAGAAAAATGGAAACAAAGCTTTTGTAAGTGAGGAGGGGAGGAAAATGGTAAAAAAAAGAATTAGGGTATGTCAGTACAGGCTCAAATTCCCCACAATGAATGTGAGCCCTACATACGGTCAACGTGTACTAATAAAAAATGCTTAAAACAGGGCCAGTTATACCCCCAACATCGTCACAGGAGAGGAGGCAGAGCTCAGATACTGGGGATGTGCAGCAGATGAGCAGGTGCAGTGCTGGGGGTCTGTAAAGTTCTTACTGCTTCTATTTACGCAGCAGAGCAGGGAGCACAGTCCTGCGATTCTATTGCAGCCCAAGGATGGGTGCAGCAGGCAGGAGGACCAGAGAAGTGAGAAGACTTCCTCGTCTCTCCCCTGGATTGGACCCAAATTAGAGCTCGGGTGTCCGCTTTTGAGTAGAAGCCTTTTCATCCTGCATCACCTGCATGGTCCCTCCTGTTAGAGGCAATCAGCCTGGAGCTCCCCTAGCACCCCCGAGCATCCCCTAGCCGGCGAGCCCTACAAAAGCCACCAGCCCACCTACCCCTCATGCTCCAGTCCTTCCCAAAGTCTGCGGCGGACGCCCGGGCCACTTCGCTCTGACCAACTGAGTTACTCACTTGTCCAGAGGCAGTGGTATCGGATGCCAATTTTCTTTCATATTGACTTGGAATTTAAATATTACATAAGCCAATTAAATAGGAGTATGAATAAAGTGGTTTTTTAATATGGAAAAGAGAAAGGAGATGCTACGAAGTCTCCATTTTGCCTAAAGTGGTTTGCGTTCCATTTTCATTAAGTTTCCAAATGAAAAGCATCCCACACAGAGGAGGAAAAAGTGAGCCAAGTACAAAAAACATATCCAGAAGATGACAGTGAGTATTAGGTAAATGTAGTATAAATGAGGAGAGAAAGAATGGCTGAGTTCAAATTTTAAAATATCAAGTTATGCCATGCTGAAGGATTTGGACTTAATCTTTTAAACAATAACGATCCAATGAAGGTTTTAAAATACATTAAAAACATGACCTAGGGGCTGGGGATTTAGCTCAGTGGTTCTACCACCCGCCTTGAAAGCGCAAGTTCCTGAGTTCGATTCCCAGTACCAAAAAATAAAATAAAATAAAACTCCAAATTAATGGAGTTGTTGAGACCTAACTCAAATACATGCCTTAACCTATGTCTTATAAAGAACTTTGCCATCAGGGTGAACAACAGGTTCGATCTGGTGTAAAACAAGGAGTTAGCTTCTGAGATGGTCAGGGAGAGCTGGTGATGGCAGAAACCTGGGCAAAGTCAGGAGGCGACAATGCTCTGCCCAGCCCCAGCGCAGACGTCCCCACCCACTGGGGAGGCCACTGCTCTCCAGCACTCCTCTCAGCACCGACCTCACCATGAGTCTTGCTTGGCTCTCTAGGCAGCTGGGAATCCACGTGCCTTACCCATGTGAGGCACGCAAGCAAAGTCATCACTCCCTGTTGAACGAAAAGTAAATGCCCTAGAGCTAAGGGATAGGATAAAAGAGAAACTGCAAACTTACAAGTGACAAATGTGCGAAACACTGAGTTATTGAAATAACCCTTGTATGTGAACCCGCACTGGTAGCCATTCCATGCAGGATGCTTTTATGGTTTTGTACTGACCTTCATAACAATCCTATGAGACACGTAATATAATTCACTCTATAGTGCAAAGGAAAACTTGGAGTTTAGGTAGTTTAATTTTCCCAGGGTCAAAAGGCCAAAATTCAAAGCCAGGAATGTGTGAGAGTAAATTCCTTTCTTAGCCACTAGGCTACTTCATTAAGGAATTAGTTATGAAGCGTTAGGAAGGTTCTGGGCCGGGCACGGTGGTGCACGCCTGTAATCCCAGCACCTGAGAAGCTGAGGCAGGAAGATCGCTGTGAGTAAGCTTGATTTACGGCACATGGGATTTGAGGTATTTGTGAGGCATCGGGGTACAGAAACAAGAGAGTAAGACAAATCGTCTCATTGTTCCAGACTTGAGTGAAGCCAGAAAGATATGGTAAGAAGGACAAGGAACTGGGACAGAGTTCTACCAAAGTGATTAATCTGTACTTTAGGTACTGGAGAGAACTAAAGGCAAAAGAAACCAAAACCAGAACTTAAAAGCAAAAGACTGAAGACCAAAGAAGACAGTTAATAAGTGTAGGAGACTAAGGGAACACACAGGTGAAGGTGGAGGCACCGGAAATGTCAAGGGTAGAGACGTGTTCAGTGATGACCCTGTTCTGGGTGCCACAAGATGTGTCCACTAGGTGGCGCGCCACACACACACAGACACACAGACATTTCTGGGCGACACAAGATGTGTCCACTAGGTGTTCTCTCTCTCACACACACACACACACACACACACACACACACACGGACATTCAAATCCCCAGGTTAACAGCAGGCGTTAAGACTTGAGTCTCATGAGAGTGGGCTGTACACTGATAAAAAAGGAAGCAGTGACGTACATGAATGTTGATTGAAGAAGCTACAGTTGATTTTTTAGGGGGAGGGATTGAACTCGGGTCTTTGCACTGGTGGGCAGGTGGCAGCACCACTGAGCTAAATCCGTAGCCCTAGGGCTGAAATTTTTGAGCTTCAAGCAATACAGTGCTCTTAACTGAGGGCTGCTGAAGAGGGTCTGAAAATAGCCAAGCAAATCCTGGGCTCCATTTACCTACTCACCCTGAGCAGAAGAGAAGCAGAAAAGTGATGCGGCAAAGCTTCCAGGGACATAATATGCTAGTGGGAATGGCAGGTTTCTCCTGACGAGGGAGTCAGAAGTTTCTCAGAAAAGGGAAAGGACAGAATCGTTCCTTGGTATCCCTAGGTGATTGGTTCCAGGACCTCGTAGTTACCAAAACTTCCAGATGCTCCATCCTCTTATTAAAAGATGGCGTGGTATGTGCAGATAATCCGCACACTCTCGGATGCTTTAAATCCTCTCTGGGTTACACAGAATGCCTACCATGATGTAGACAGCTCTTACGCCGTGTTGTCCGGGGGATGATAACAAGACAAAAACAGAACATGTTCAGGCCAGAAATCCTTTTTTGATACTGAGGATTGAACCCAAGGCCTTTGCACTGAGCGACATCCTCAGCCTTTTTTTTTTTTTAATTTTGAAACAGGATCTCACACTAAATCATTAAATTGCTCGAGCTGAGCTAGAACTTTTGATCCTCCTGCCTCAGCCTCCTAGAGTGCTGGGATTACAGGTGTGAGCCGCCACCAGCTCAAACACTATTTTTAAAAAATATTCTCAATCCACAGCCGGTTGTCAATCTGACCCCTCACATACAAGGCCCAGCAACATTACTGACAACAAAATGAGGACCACTGTGCCCGTCAGCCGGACCTGGTAAGCAGAGATGAACCAAAGATGAGCAAAAGCTGTGACTGCAAAATGGACAAAGACGGATGCTTGGGAGACAGCGTAGGACAGAGTTCTCTGAGGAAAGTTCAATGTCCCATGTGTTTTAGATACGTAGAGGTCATGACAACTTCCTAAGTCTTCTTCTTTTCAACTTCAGCACAAGACCCGGGGTGCTCTGTGGTGGCAAGAACAGCCCAAAGCCAGGCAGTGGGCTTGGTGCCGAGAAACCAGTAACCCTGACAGAAGCAAGGATCGGGGACAGAAACGGTGACAAATCTCAAAGATGCTTTCCAGATCATGTACCGGTAGAACTTTCTACGGTAACCATTTTTACATATGTATTTTCTTCAGTCAAAACATTTTATGAGGCTGAGGGAGAAAAATCACAAATCCAAGCTCAGCCTGGGCAACTCAGCCAAACCCTGCCTCAGAATAAAAGGGGGAGCGGTGCAGCACACTGGTAAAGGGTTCAATACCCAGTACCAAAAAAGAAAATAACGACTTCTCTCTAAAAGCATACTTCTTACTCCTCGGTGGCCAGCCTCATGTAGCAACTCACAGGACTGGGAAACATCTATGACCCTCCTAGGAAGGAGGGGGAGAGGGAGGGGAGGGGAAAGGAGAAGCGGGGGAGAAGGATCTTCCAAAACCACCTCTCAGTAGTTACAGAGAGCAAACGCCAAGCTTTCATTTCAAATATCAGGGAGCCCAAACAAGGTTGCATGTTCTTTCCCAGTATTTCCAAACACAAACAGAAAGGACCACCTACATGAATGCCACTGAATATGCAAAGTAAAAGACAAAATTTTTTGTTTTGTTTTGTTTTTTTGAGACAGGGTCTCACTATGTAGTTGAGACTGACCTGGAACTCACTATGTAGCCCAGGCTGGTCTCAAACTCACAGCCATCCTCCTGTCTCAGCCTCCTGAGTGCTGGGATTACAGGCGTGCGCCACCACGCCTGGCAAAATGTTTTTTTTTTTCTGGTGCCTGGGATTGAACTCAGGACCTTGCGCTTGCGAGGGAGGCACGGTGCCACTTACTGCCAAGTCCTACTTACAAACACCATCAATGGAATCCTTCACGAGGTTTGCGTCCGTCAACACCCACAGGCCACATTCCTAAAAAACAGTAATGTTACTTTCCTTTTAAATAAAGTTTACGTGCTCTCTAACCACATTTAAGTGTCTCGTACTCTGACTCACCCTTGCTCGATTTTGAGAGCCTGGGTACAATCTCATTTTCTCTCCCCCCACCCCCGCCACACACACATATAAACAGCTATTTCAAAGTCAAAGATAAAGGAAAATAAATTATTTGTTTAATGATAATTCCATTCGTCTTTTCTTTTTCTCTGATACCAGGGATTGAACTCAGGCCCTTATGTTCGCAGGCAGGCAGTGGAACCACTGAGCCAAATCCCCGGCCTTCCATTAATCTTTCTAATGGTCAATGTTTTGTTTTTAAAACTGAAAAGGGCCAGGGATCTAGCTCAGTGTTTCCACTGCCTGCCTTGCAAGCACAAGGGCCCAAGTTTGATCCCCGGTACAAAAAAAAAAGAACCTGAAAGGATTATCTCTCCTTTAAGATTATACTTATGTAACCGTGTACTCAGTGACACATTAACAAAAGATTAACATTTCATAATGAAAATTTTGATAGCGTTTCCAATAGTAAAATGTATTAATATCCTTTCAAATTATATAGCACAGCTGGGGATTTAGCTTAGTGGTCCTACTGCCTGCCTCACAAGTGCAAGGACCCGAGTTCAATCCCTGGTACCAAAATTAAAATTAAAAAAAGCATCAGGCATGGTGGTGCACGCCTGTAATCCCAGCACTCGGGAGGCTGAGGCAGGAGGATCGCTGTGAGTTCAAGACCAGCCTGGGCTACATAGTGAGTTCCAGGTCAGTCTCAACTACATAGTGAGACCCTGTCTCAAAAAACCAAAACAAAAATAAATAAAATTTTTAAAAGAACATATTTCTCAAATTATATAGCAAACTACACCTACCTGAAAGACAGTAAAAGAATTCATGAACATGCCTATATAATATCCTGTATTATAAAGTTCCAACTCATGGACCACCTGCAAAGAACATAAAATACGCAGAATGGATGGGTTCCCGTCAGTATCTCACGGTATTTCTTATGAGTAACTTACATTAGACATAGCCGCCATACTTATCAACTGGAAAATGATACAAATCAAAGAGTAAGACTATGTCAATGCTCTGTTCATTATCCAATCCACTGAAATTATATTTCTTTTTGGGGTTTTTTTTTTTTTTTTTGGTGCAGGGGATCAAACTCTGCTTCTTGTGCTTGCGAGTCTGGCAGCTGAACCACTGAGCTAAATCCCCAGCCCCTGAAATTATATTTCTTATTTAAACTTAGTTTTACTTGACCCAGGAACCCAGAGTGCCTCAGAAGTGTGCCCTTGAGCTTTACCAAGGAGGAACTTAAATGCTCTGATTGATAAGATCAGCGCATGGAGATCAACATTACAAATGGTCCACAGCTGGGCCAGGGATTTAGTTCAGTGGTTCCGCCACCTGCCTCAGAAGCACAAGGTCCTGAGTTTGATCCCTGGCACACACAAACAAAAAAAAAAAAATAGAAAAAAACAAATGATCCACAGTAGACTAGCAGAGAAGGGGGTGTAGTGGGAGGGTGAAACAATCAAAGTGTGCCCTGTGTGCGCAGAAATATGCCAGAGTAGCCGGGCGTGGTGGCGCACACCTGTAATCCCAGCACTCGGGAGGCTGAGGCAGGAGGATCCCTGTGAGTTCGAGACCAGCCTGGGCTACATAGTGAGTTCCAGGTCAGTCTCAACTACATAGTGAGACCCTGTCTCAAAAAACAAAACAAAAACAAAAATACGGCAGAGTGAGACCCACTGCTTGTACACGACTGTGCACTAATAACTCTTAAACGAGCCCTATTTTTGTACTATTGGCAGAAATTAATGGGTTAACTGGATAGAGTTTAGTATAAATGCTGCAAAATGTCCATTACCTAAGTTTTTAAAAAACCCAAAACCTCACAAAAAAGGAAATGTAAATTATTAATAGAAAAAATTCAGCCTCATTGACGCCATAATTCAAATTATGCCAATATGATCTTCTTAGAGATATCTGCATTATCACATAAAGTACTATTATTTTTAGAACAATATTTACTGCCAGCGAGAGTGGATAAAATGAGCTAAAGGAACAGCTACAATTCTCACTCTTTTTCTTCAAAAAATTAGACATGCAATTAGAATATTATTTCTTTTTTGTTTTGGTTTTTGTTTTTGTTTTTGGTACCAGGCATCGAACTCGGGACCTTGTGCTCGTGAGGCAGGCGGCAGCTCCACTGAGCTGAATCCCCAGGTCCCTGGAATATGACTGACTATAAACCCATGGTATAAAACAGCCCTCCAGAGAGCACCCCTGCTATCTAACCCAAGGCGGTACTTCTGTAAGACAGGCAAGATGCACCCAACCACATAAACTTTTTCCAGCATAACAACTGTGCACAGATACTTTTTCACTTGGAGGTTTCACTGGTTATTGGCTTATGAATGTACAGAAACTAATGAATTTCCCTTCAATATTTAAACTAATGTAACTGCACTTTTCTAACATCTGTCTTTGTAATTCAGAACTATACTCACATTTTCCATTGTAATATCATTTGAGGTATTCATCAGGTTCACACTTTCGTCAACAGCTACAATCCCAACAAAGGAGTCAGGCTGTGTTACAGAGACCCTAAGAGAGACTTGCTCTGATGGTTCAGCATTAGGTTTACTCCAAAACAGCTTTATCTAACAAAAGGAAAGAGTATGATTAGTTGATCTCATGTTGTAAAAGCACGGTTTACCTATCTTACCAATAGCAGATCAAGAACTCAAAATCTAAGAAAGAACGTACGTTTGCCTTGGCCCCAGGGTAACTCTAAAACCACTCAGAGCCTTCTCCAGGAAAGCAATAAAGTAACTGAACTGCCCAGCATCTGCAAGTCCTGAGCTGCCTCCTGGTGAGTGGTAGAAACCCAAAGTATCCTTCACTTCCGGCTGTGTTCCTCCCTCTCTTCCTCCTACGCAAGCCCAGCCGGCACAGGACAGGAGAGAGCAGGAGCCAGATAAAGAAGGCACAGGAGCCTCCGCGTTGATGTGGGCTGAGGACTGCACACGGGAGGGTCTGGAGGGCTCCCAAGAGGCCTGGGTTGTGGGGAGGTGCGGGTCTCCAGCGCTCCTCCGTCAGTCAGCACACCATCAAGGCCTGGACCCAACAGTGCAGCATGCGGCCCGGCGCCATCAGCACCAACGAACCGTTCCTCCTGGGGCCTCTCCTCCCTCCAGCCCTATCTTAATACTGCCGCCTCCTGAGACGCACTGCCTGAGCAGGTGGACGGGATGCTGCCCTCAACTTGATCATCCTTTAAACAGCTTCTTCCTTCCTAGCCCAGACTCCCTTCTCTCAGAGGATTTGCTTTGGGAAACCTCTAACTGCGAAGTCTTTCCCTGCGCTGTTCACATGTAAATCTTCTCCCAGCTTCTGGCCGGTCCCACAACCCAGGAGGAGGAGGACTTCGCTCAAGGACCCAGGAGCCATGTGCAGGGTATGCCATGGCCCAGAAAGAAGGAGCCAGGGTGTTTTCCAGCCTCTCCAGGCAGAGGAGCCTGTGCCGGTCACAGTGACCTGCTCCCTGTCACCCCTGCAGTGCTGCGCATGATCCCAGCCCATGCCTTAAAGCTCCCCTACCTGTTTCAAAGCTCCCCTACCTTAATTCAATCTCCTCTATGAAGGCTTCCTCTCCTGCTTACCTTGCTCCATGTAACTTTTCTCTCACGCACCTCCCAAGGCCCTGTGTCTAACCTGCCCTCTTCACCGAGTGGGACAGGGAGCAGCAGCAAGTGGGACACCAGCAGCCTCAGACCATGTCATTCTCATTCTGTATCTGCGCCTCCGAGACCCTGTGGCTTCAGCTCACATGGAAGCGTGAGTGGGTTTTTTGGTTTGGTTTGGTTTGGTTTGGTTTGATTTGGTTCGTACCAGGGGTCGGGGATCGAACTCAGGGCCTTGTGCCTGTGGGGCTGGTGGTGGCACCACTGAGCTAAAGCCCCAGCCCTTGTGCGAGTAATTCCTAACCCTGCTCGTGCCTCTTCTATATTTCATTCACGTATCCCAGAGCGCTTCTCGGATATCCACAAAGATTCACTAATTTTCTCTCGCTTAAACACATATCCACGTACGCAGTTTCTTTGTAAATGTGGTAACTGGGATACAGAGAAAGATACATACAAATATATGTACGAACAGAACGGAAACAATCACCTAGCTCCTACAGTGAAGACGTTTCTTGAAAAGAGGCTAGTAATGTCCTGTTTCTTCAGGGTCATTGATCTCACACACTCTCCCTAGCTTGAGAGCCTGGGCTTGCTTTCAGGTATGCGTCTCCTCGCTGAAACCCCCGGGACTGCGTTTTTAAAATTCACCTCCCCCAGGTGATTCTTACAATCACTAAAAGTCAAAAATTATGCTCTAAAACTTAAAAATACAGTATCCTCTTCTAAAAAAAAAAAAAACTTTTCACAAACTACAAGTAGAAGTTTATATTAAATGTTGACAAAGTTAGGGTTAATATGTGTGGGCTGGGGGCCCAGCTCGGGGCAGAGCACTCACTTCGCGTGTGCAGGGTCCTGGGTTGGATCCCCAGCACTTCAAAAAAATTACAGTTAAAAATTCTCAACAAGCACTCGGGAGGCTGAGGCAGGAGGATCGCTGTGAGTTCGAGACCAGCCTGGGCTACATAGTGAGTTCCAGGTCAGTCTCAAAGACACAGTGAAACCCTGTCTCAAAACAACAACAACAAAAAAAAAAACCAAAAACTCTCAATGAAAGAAAGCATGGATAACTGGTGCACATCTCTACATCTTAACAAACTAGTATTCTAAGGGTTTTTAAATGAATAATAGAACAACTATATTCTGCAAATCACTATCTTAAAGTGATTACATTACTTAAGAGGACTGAAAGGTCACGATTTATAGTGGACACAATGGCTCATTCTGATTGACACCAGACAATTCAGTAACACTTATTTGGGGTTGAGGTCTGAGGCAGTTTCCTTCACAGGCTGCCTTACTTCAGCTATGAAAAGCACTGTTGTGTCTGGAGACCAGACTGCACACAGCTCCTCACAAGCAAGGGACCCAAGCTTGCTGAAATCTGTCCCAGTTAGTTTCCAGCAGGTAAAACAGACACCCGCTGCCAGCCCTGCCTCCTCGGCGATCCTCTCAGACGGCCTCCCTCCCATACCCCTCAGCTCACTCTCACGCCAGTTTGAACACCACACACATCCCAACCTGTCTCTGAATTCCACACCAAATCAACAATGACTGACTACATGAAAAATCCTAAAAGGGCTTTGTGGATTTGAGTCAAATTTTAATTAAAGAACCACATCTTCCAGGCCAGGCGTGGTGGCACATGCCTGTGATCACAGCACTTGGGAGGCTGAGGCAGGAGGATCGCTGTGAGTTTGAGACCAGCCTGGGTTACATAGTGAGTTCCAGGTCAGTCTCAACTACATAGTGAGACCCTGTCTAAAAAAAAAAACATATCTTCCAATTGAGACCGGTAGATTGCAATAATTCTGCAAGTGGAAATACATTTGCAGTTACTAAAATAGTTCTAGAAGGGAATAATAAATTTCCAAACAATTTGGCTTAATACTTTTGTAATACAATACTGTTTCTCGGAATTCACTAACGAGTTTTCTTTTAAATATTATTACCTGAAATCTTACCTCATTTTTAAAAGCAAGCTGAACAGGAACTTTTAGAACATCATTTATAATTTCTCCATCATTTTCAACATAATACACAATTATACAGGCCTTGGGAGCCCAAGAATTTTCTGGGGTTAAAGAGAAGGTTGTTGAAGTTTGTTTGCCTACAGCCACCAATTGTCCCCTGGATACCACCTGAAAAAAAAATAAATGAGTTTAAGTTTGGGGCTTTTTCAGAGGGTAGAAGATGTCAGGAATCAAACTCAGGACTTTGAGCTTGCTAGGCAGGCACAGTACCACTGAGCTGTAATCCCCACCCCGTGAGTTCAAGTTTTGCTAAAGTTAATCAGATCTCAACTAAAGTTGCATTTATCCTCCTTTTTTATTCGTACAGGCTTGCATTACATAATGATTACAACATGATCCTGCGGAGCTGGTATGTATACTTTATACTTTTTTTTTTCTTTTTTTTTTTTTTGGTACCAAGGATCAAACTCGGGACCTTGCGCTTGTGAGGCAGGTGGCAGAACCACTGAGCTAAATCCCCATGAAATTGGTTTTAATTCTCAGTTCTAAATTCTCAGCTTTAGTTTTTAATGGAGACATAATACCTGCGTATATTATGGGTTACACAATGCGATGCTTCAACACATGTACAACGTGTGATGATCACTCTAAGGACTGGCCTGTGTATCCGTCACGTATTTCTCACTTTCCCTTTGCCCAGACAAAATGCCCAGTGCAACTTAAAGGAGGAAAGGGTTATTTTGGCTCATGGTCTGAGAGGATCCAGAAGGTTGGCTGGCTCTAAAAGACCAACGGCACAGCAGAGGAAAGGTGCTAACCATGCAGCCGGGAAGCAGAGAGAGAGAAAGAACTAAGGACCAGACTACGAATACTCGGCCAGGCCTCACCCCTCAGCGACAGCCTCCAACCGACCTCCACCTCCTAAGGCGTGAGGTCTTAGAGGGACATTTTAAACATCGTAAACTTAGCCGTGACAGCACCTCAAATAGTATGGACTTCTTGGTGCTGAGAAAGGTTCTGTGTTTGGATGAGGGGATAGAGGACCCCACCGGAAGGGCTGGGTTGGCAAAATCACAAGGCCACAGTCACTATTTGTATTTTCTCCTCATATTTTCTAATTTTCCACACCATGGGTGTACATTGCTTATTTAATAGAAATTAAAATTTTAAATATAAGACAAAATGTAATTGCCTATATTTAACTGGAAATGCAAATACAAGTGAAGAAAAAGATATTTTGATTGCAATATAAAAAGGATAGGCTAATATTTAAAAAGTAAGTTTAACATCGACATAAGTTAGCCATCATTTAAGATGATTCTATAATAGAGCAGAGACCTAAATTCTAGAAGAGATTACCATATAGCTGAACTCCTTTATTGGCTTGTTGCCACTAACCACCAACTCAAAAGGTGATCCAACCTAGAAAAAACAACAAACCTGAATTAACATGACCATATCAATGGCAAGAGAGTCCAATTACATGACAATTTCAAGTGCGCGATAAGCTTTACCTTTATATTTTCATATCTTGTCTTTAACTGGATGTACGTCTTACTAGGGGATATAAATGTGCCGTGAATTTCCATGTTACTCTCACTGCTAAGAAAATAAGCCTATGACAAAAGGAAAAGAGCTATAAATTTTCATCTTCAACCTTGAGAAAAGATGCCACCTGATGAACAATTACTGAAAGCCAAATTCACTTTTTTCCCATGCAGGAGATGACATTTGCCCAGTGATGGATCTTCACCATTTTATACCTTATGCTATTAGGAATCTAGTAGTTTACAAACATGGGAAAGGTCTTCACACCATCACAACCTAGAGGAAAAAAGCACGGCCCCAACTTACTTCAGAAACGAAGGTATTTTATCAAGAAATACTTCGGGCGGAGAGGATAAATGGAAAAGCAATGCTTTCCTTCTCTCCATAATATGCAGCTCAAATAAAAGCAAGAAATCAAACCACTTCCACTGGATCCACCGAGATTCAGAGTAAAAACCAAGTTGGACACACATCTGCAGCCCCATAGTTCAAGCTACCCAAGAGGCAAAGCAGGAAAATCAACCCAGCCTGAGAAACTCAGCGACATAGTTACATCCTGTCTTAAAATAAAACAATGGAGGGTTGCGGATGTAGCCCAGTGGTTCTGCACCTGCCTCGCAAGCCCAAAGTCCTGAGTTCTATTCCCGGTACCAGGAAAAAAAAAAAAAAAAAAAAAAAAAGAATCAGAGGCTTCACGACATGCTCAGCCAGGCCCCTACTAGGGCAAGGCTGAATGTCAGAAGGGTAGGAAACAGAAAAGCCTAAGAATCTCAGGTGAGCCACTCCAGGAAAGGCAGCTCCGCAATGGTGTATACATGCAAAAAATATAACTTCCTCTTGCATTTCAGCTCTAGTAAGAATAAAACTGCATATGGCTGAAAAATCAACCTAGATGAGGGTTTCAGGAGCTTCTCCACTGCCCCTTCACATGGCTGTATTTTCCTGTGGTCTTCCAAATGAACTTACAAGGGAGCGTTCAGGCCACTGTCATTGAATTACTTAGAACGTTTTCTCCCATCTTTAAAAATAAAAACACACGTCTATTTCCTACGCACTGAACCCTGACAGGCTGAGTGAGTGGCTAGCACAAGGTTACAACTGCAGGGCTGGTGTGGCTGGAAAGCAACTTGCGTGACAGCGGCACCTTCACTTGTAGCTGGCTGGAACTGTCCAGGATTGGAAACTCGATCTTAAAGACTCCGTCGGCGGGGACAGTGTAATTTGTGATGTGAGCAGCTTCCGTTTCCTGGTTTCCGCCGTTCCACCTGCCCCAGAGATAGGTCCTGTTTCTCTGCGTCACTGCCATGACCACATGATTCCTTCTTTCTTCTTGAGTCAGCTGACTGCCATCAGCACGTGTTACCTTCACCTAGTTGTCAAAACGGGATTATTTTAGAAACAAGTCACAAGTGATGGCTTTAAGCTCCGCTGAATCCAGCTTCCCTCTGCCCTCCTCCCAGGAGACTGAACTCTCAACCATTCCTGGCAGCTTCCTCACCCCACACTCAGGGCGCCTCCCCGCCGCAGGCACCAGGGCCACAATTCCTGCCTTCTGAAAGGCATGGCTTCCTCGCTTCCCCGGCCCGGCCCGTCACAACATCGTGCGCTTATGCAGCTCCCTCCTGCACCTTCTCACGGCCCTTTAAATGTGGGAGATTGTCAAGAGCACATACTCAGCTATCCATTTTTCTGTCTTCCTTCTCTCTGCTCATGCCTGAGGCATAGCTCAGCTCTTGGTGACGGTGCTCCAGCTCCAAATTCTCCATCCATCCTCACCTCACTCTGGAGCAAAGCCTCACGTCCAGTCGCCTCCAATTCTGCACGCCTGACACTAAGTAACCATCTGCCTTTCCTGTCTTTGGTGATCCCACAGCTCTACCAGCTGCTCCGTCTCTCTCTCTCTCTGTCTGTCTGTCTCTCTCTCTCTCTCTCTCTCTCTCTCTGCAAATGTTCCCTCCTTCAGAGCTCTCTCCTCCATAGTAATCCGCCTTCCTATTCCAGAACCAACTCTCACCCCTTCAACTCCCATTGTTTGACTATACTCATTTGAAAACTATTCTTGGCAGCCTGTGTAAATTATTACGATCAATAAAATCAAGAACCACCTACACTTTCTTTTCACACATTAAACAAGAAGTGACCCTTTCTTTTTTCAAATCAAGGATCAGCCAACTACAGCAAGCAAGCATGCCAATCCAATATTTTGTAAATAAAGTTTTATTGGAACATAGCTGCTCTCATTCATCTACAAATGTGTTGTGGCTACGTACATGCTGCCATGACAAAGCTCGGTCATGAAAACACAGAATATGGCCTACAGAGCTGGACATGTTTACGGTCTACTTTCCAAAAAGAAACCCTGCTTTAAGTACCTATAAAAATGAATTACTGACATGGCTTATTGTGTCCTGAGTGATAGTTCTGTGAATATTTTCTTATCATCACAAAAACTATAATTCCTGGGTCAAGATTCAGTCCTTCTCAGTCCACAAGCCCAGGCCTTCTACATTGTCAAAATTCACTCAAGTACCATAATTTTTTGTTTGTTTGTTTTGAGACAGGATCTCACTATGTAGTTGAGACTGATCTGGAACTCACTACTAGCCCAGGCTGGTCTCGAACTCACAGCAATCCTCCTGCCTCAGGCTCCCAAGTGTGGGATTACAGGCGGGCGCCACCACGTCTGGCTATAATTTTTTTTTTTTTTTTTTTTTGGTACTGGGGATTGAACTCGGGACCTTGTGCTTACAAAGCAGGTAGCAGAACCACAGAGCTAAATCCCCAGCCCTATAATTCTTAATCTTACATATTTGCTAAAACTAAAATAACTAGAGTCATTTTAAAAGTCAAATTTTAATTAAAAGTTTTGACCACCATCTAGTTCCTTCAATTAACAAATGCTTCAACGTAGCAATCTACATCTAGCAAATTGCTTGTTAAATAAATGTCCAGAAAAATGTTTTTATTGTCATTAGGAACAATTTTTTAAAAACTATACAAAAGTCGTCTGGAAATAATTCTCTATACCTCACATCCCTAATGAGGAAAAATAATCTATTTCCTTTTTCACTTAAAATTTCTAGAAAAGCACTGAAAATACTAGTTTCCATTTTGTCTTATTAAATGCAGCCACGAGGACCAATAATAAACATAATAACTTACGGTAGCTGTGAAGTTGAGAGACGGCTTCAAGACAGCGACATAATCAAAAAATTCAATGATGTAATCATGTTGCTTGAAAAACACATTGGAGCTTGCGTTTCTTGAGATTCCTGTTTAGGGAATTGCATAATTTAGAATCCAAAAGTATTATTTGACCAGTACCTTCTGTCCACCGCATCTCTGCAAGCCAGAGGGGTTTGCAATCTGGGGGCACACGCGCCTGTCTGCGGAGCGGCTCTGACACTGAGAGCCGCGTCTTTCTGGAGCGCTCTCTTCAGACTCCCAAGCACCACCCCCACCGGCTTCCCTCGGTGCCGTCTGCGCCTGTGGATCAGAGCGCCTGACGAAATAGACTTTTGCTCTTTCCACAGCTGGTTAAAGCTGCTGAAACGGTAACAGAAAAATCCAAATAATAACTGTTCTCTTATTCAAAGAGAAAACCAGCCAGGCACACAGGCACACACATAGCTACTTGCTAGGCTGAGGCAGGAGGATTGCAAGTTCAAGGCCAGCCCGAACAACTCAGCAAGACCCAGGCTGAAAATGAAAAGGTCTGTGGACGTAGCTCAGGTCTCCCTCAGTTCAGTCCTCAGTGCTGAAAAAAGGGGAAGGGGGACTGTCCCAAGCAAGTGAGATTTCAGACTATGTTAAGTGATTTTGTAAGAGAGAAGATAAGCAGCTGAAAATCTAGGCTTTTCTATGTGCTTTTGAGGCCAGAAAAGAGTAGAAATAGAAAAAAAAAAAATGCACAGTTTATCACATGTGACTGAAGTACAGGCTTTCACAGAAAATTAGTTTCACTTTTACTAAGAAAACATCCTGCAAATTAGATTAATATTTGTGACAATCTCAACATCAAACAGCCTCTTTAGAAAGGCATCAAATGGCCCCAAATGGAAAGTGCTAGTTATAGTAAGAGAAACGACAGAGCACAGCATGTAAACAGCTTTACCTTTTACTTCAAAGTCTACGAACCTGTAAGGGACTCTGTCACTGTGGCTAGAATTTCTACTGGTCCCGGGGTGGACAGATCCATGTACTCAGAGTGCTCATGTGAAAAATCCATTACCTTTTTCATTTCTTCATCATTAAAAGAGAAGTTTGCAGATCCATTTATCTGTTTTGTTTAAAAGTTCAATTTTATTTTTCACTCTGGCAATTCAAATTCTAGAAGTAAAACTAATACTACGACCACCTCCGTCTCCATTTTAATCACAGGGAGTGGGTGAATTCTGACTGGTCCAATTCCACACAGCTCTTGATTTTCTTCCACTCGATTTTTGTTAATTTAGTACAAAAATCTTATTCCCAGAAAAAGTACACTTAAATTTCCCCCATCAGAAGCTACAAAATATCTGCAAAAGTTACCTTAAATGATTTTGTAATATTTTTCTTCTCTCCCCAAAATGACAGAGGTAAAAATGTAAGTGTTACATCTCCTTTGACTGGTTTCCCATATGTATACCTGAAAAACAATGAACAACAATTTGGGGCTCTTTAATTTTTTTCACATTGCCAACTTATACTATGAGAGGAACACAATAAAAATACTGCTTTCAATAGTATGCATTAGCGCAATCTGAGATAAAGTAATGATACTAAAAAAACATAGTACTGCTACAAATTTCTAGAAACTAAGCACAGCAAGAAAGGTCCTTAATAAATGGTAATCCTTGAAATTCAGTTTCCAAAATGGGAAGTTTTTTGTTTTGGGTTTATTATGGGGAGGGGTTGAGACAATGTTTCACTATGTAGCCGAGGCTGGCCTTGACTTGTGGTGATCCTCCTGCCTCAGCCTCCCCAGTGCTGGGATTACAGGCGTGCACTACCACACCCAGCAAAAATGGGAAGACTTTTAACTAGAAATGTTTACAATGCCCTGAACGTGAACTACTGGTTCCTGCAGTTACTAAATCAAACGCGAATCTAAACCCTGAGGTGAAAGCTTATTAGAGATGTGATTAAAGTCCACAGTAAGGTGACTGCAAGCAGATGACATTGTCCTACATGATCTGGTGGCCTAAAAGCAAAGCGAGGATCCCCTAGTCCTGTCTGTCCCTTCCCCTAGTCACCCCACAATCATGGAAGCCAGCTCCTTGCCATAAATCCCCAATTCTACCTCCCACTGTTCTCTCCTCTGGTTGAGCCCGGATTTCTTCACACACCAAGGGAAGCGATGCCATCACAGTGTGTGACCATTGAGGCAAGACCAGGAGCGCACTACAGTGGCCCAGACATTCTGCACCACCAGGGTCCCAAGAGACTCGGCCGCTGAGAACCATGATAAGACCACAGGCCCGGGCCCAGGATGGAACTGTGTGAGTGCAGGGACCTCTCGCCCTGAAATTCACACGTAAACTTGCTGGAGAGTCAGCTGAGCATAAGGACCACTGCTTTAACTATCAAATCCCTGACAGCCTCTGGAAACCCAGCAGAATCAAGAAGTTCTGCAGACTTGACCCAGGCCGCACAGAGACGCCTGGCGTCTGTGCGACTTGCACTCACGGAGCGGGTCTGGGGCTACTGGCAGATTTGTAGCCACTGTGTTTTATAAGCACCAGTCAGAGATCTCAGACAGAATGCTCAGCCTCTGGCTAAGATCGAGTGCTGCATAAGAATCATGGAAAACACAGCACGGAATGTGTTTTCTAACCATAAATCCACCTGCACTTCCCAAGTTCACACTAGAAGTTGGCTCTTAGTTGAACACAGCAGGAAGTAATTAAGTACAAATCATAGATGTGCTCCCACTTTTGTGTTTCAGGCGAGGTTTTGCCAAATGTTTCAAGGCAGGAGTCCTCAGAACACTGTGGTCTGAGGACAGCTCCTGCCAGGAGACTGCACCCATGGCCACTGCTGCCTCAAACCCTCACCGGAAGAGGGCACTGCAGAGACAGTGACAAGGTGGGCCTTGTTTCTGTTAGCCTGTAGAGCTCTCAATGGTGAGACCAAGTAAGTTGTAGAAGTCAAAGCACAAACACTGACATATCAAACAAACAAACAAACAACAACAAAAAAAAAACAGAAAAACAAAAAGCAAATTAGCTGGGCATGGTGGTGCATGCCTGTAATCCCAGCACTTGGGAGGCTGAGGCAGGAGGATCTCCTTGAGTTCAAGAGCCTGGGCTACACAGTGAGATCCAGGTCAGTATCAAATACATAGTAAGGACGCCTGCTCCCGACCCAGCCGCCATCGCTCAAGCGCCGGGAGGTAGGCCAGCCCCGATCCACCATGGGAAGGAGAACCACGCCTGCTCCTGAAGGTAGCCGTGCGGGCGCCCCTGAACCCCCATAAGCTCCCCCACCGCACTCTCAGACCTCCTGACTGTGCCAGTCTTTGGACCCACTCTGCAAAGACAGAGGTGGTCATCAAGGGTATTTTTCTGAGTTCCCAACTTTGAACATCTTTAAAGAAAGGGCGTGGGAAACCTGTAATAGAACGTTGTGGAGTTCAACCATTCAGAAGGATGGGGAACTCAATCTGGGCCTTGCAGCCCGAGGTCAGTCAGCATCATGGGGTTCAGCAATCAGCTAACTGAGATCAGGGGTCTTGCATCCT